CTAGTTCTTTCATAGTCGCTCTCCCCATTCTTAATCTTCTTCTGATTTCCTGATTTTCAAAGTTTGATCCCAGGTATGAGAACTCTTTTACTATTTCTATTTCTTCATTATTGTCTAGGTTGAATTTATGTAGACTCTCCATGGTCATTATTTTTTCTTTTCTTTATTTTCAACAGTAAGCCTGACTTTGCACTTTCTTTCTTGATCTTCCTTAGTAGCTGTTTCCAGGTCTTTGTGATTTTCTGCTAGTATTATGGTGTTGTCTGCATATCTTAGATCAGGGATAGGCAACCTAAGGCCCGGGGGCCGGATGCGGCCCCCGAGGCCTTTGGACTGGCACCAGGCCAGTCCTGCCACCACCGCCACCGCCACCCTCCATGATAATATTGATTAGGTTGCCTATCCCTGCTCTAGATCTTCCAGGAAGATCTGTAGCAAACAGTGATTTTACTTGTTCTTGGGGTTTTCTTGGCAAAATCTCCACAGGGGTTTTGCCATGGCTTTTCTGGGGCTGAAAGAGTGTGCATGCATATTTTTTTAAAATATATATATATACATATACATATATATATATATATATATATATATATATATATATATTTGGTGCTTCGGCCCCCCAATTGTCTGAGGGACAGCAACCTGGCCCCTGGCTCAAAAAGGTTGCCTACCCCTGTCTTAGATTGTTGATATTCCTTCCTCCTATTTTCACTCATCCCTCTTCTACATCCAAGCCTGCTTTTCTTACAATATGTTCTGCATATAAGTTGAACAGGTAGGGGGTAAACTTTGGCAAATCATACTCTCTGTCTCAGAGAGATTCAAAATCAAACCCCCTCTGTATAAATCTTGCCAAGAAAAATCATGAGTGTTAGGGTTAGTGCTAGGGAATCATGGGAATTGTGGTTTTTTTTCTGAGACATTGAGCCTTCTCTGTCAGAGAGCTCTGGTGCCACAATAAAATACAGTTCCCATGATTCCCTAACCCTAACTCTAAAAGTAGACTCAATTTGCATTATTTCTGGCAGTCTGCAAAGGCACTAACAAAGCGCTAAACAATTTGGGCCTTGCATATTTAACCATGCAATGTTATTCATGCCTACACTGACACAGGTCTTATTTAGTTTAAAGGAAGTTACCCCCAAGTAAACATACATAAGATTACAGCCTAAAACTGAACCCATACCTATCTCCCATCCAAACATGTCATATCCCAGGGTTCTTAAGGCTCACCCTGCTTCTGTTGCTGTCTGACACATTTAATAAATTATAATAAATGGATCAAGCTACAGGAATAGCGATTTCACCTCAACATTAGGAAGAAACTCCTGACAGTAAGAACTGTTCAACAGTGGAACACACTCCCTTGGAGCATGGTGGAATCTCCTTCTTTGGAGGTTTTAAAACAGAGGCTGGATGGCCATCTGTTGTGGGTGCTTTGATTATGTATTCCTGCATGGCAGGGGGTTGGACTGGAGGGCTCTCCTGGTCTCTTCCAACTATGATTCTATGTTTTTACCTCTCTCTCTCTTTAAATGACCTAGTGCTCCAACATGAAGTGTCTGGTGAGCCAGTTGCCCCCATCTTAATTTCTACAGAACTTTTCTGGCATCTAGTGATTCTCTTAGATGTACTGGGCATCATGCCACACATCCCTGCTGCTGCTCACTGCAGCTGCACCTCCCACTCCATCACTTCCTTAGCTCTGGGCAAGACCCAGAAGGCACCAGCAACTTCTCAAACCTTCTCTGGGTCCCACAGTAACCTTTAGCAGAGAGCCATTTTTTCATAGTATCATCGTACAGAGTATCATTCAATATGAATGATGATATGCTCAGGTTTTGCTTATCTAAGAAAAATGCCTCCTATGCCGTTTCCTATCATAAATCTCTGTGCTTGACAGAGAGCGATTATTGATAGTGTCCTCCAATTATAGTGAGAGACAGGCATTCTTAATAGCTAATGCTCAGTTCTGCTAGTAATCTGACAAAAGCTGGAGCAACAAGGAGAGCCAGCTAAGCATGCTCTGTTTTGTGTGCATTTTAGAGGCAGGAGAGAGAGAGGTTTTAGTTTCACATTTCTATTTTTCTGCAAGATATAATCTTTTATGATCCCATTTCATAAATCCTGTTTTATTATTATTCTTTCCTGGCACAAGCCCTCAAGGAACAGGGGTGAGATGTAAGTCAAGGAAGCAAATGATCTGTGGGCTTGTTTCCTATCATGAAATGCAAGATAGAATTCATGGCTCATTTTTTAAAAATGCCACCATGGGGGGTGGGTGGGATTTACTTCACTGTGATTCTTCACAATCACAGTTCAGATCAGTAACTGAAGAAAACAGCCCTTCTTCTGCAGCTGAAAACATATCAGTGCTGTAGTACCTTTAGAACTGGAACTAAAAAGTGATTAAGAAGGTGAGCTTTTAGCCAGCATATGCCTAACTCAAATCAGACCACAACCATGATTTCATTAGACGGTTTTTCACTCACAGGAAGGGGAGTTTGTTTTTAAGAGGAAGAGCAGAATGTCCCCCACCACCTTCCTCTTCAGCTGAGATCTGATATCAGAAGTATACTGAACTGAAAGCAGTGACACCCTAAGGAGGGTAACACCACTGCTCCCTAAACATCTGATTTTGGCAGAAATGAGCTTTGGCATTCACCTGTGTCCCTTTAAAATACTTAATAGATTGTGCAAGTCGAGCAAGGCTCAGTAGGAGGAGAAAGGAGAGGCCCCAGCTTTTAAATAAACAATTTAATTTTTTTAAAAAAAATGTTTTTTTAATTAATTTTTTATTATATTTTTTAAAAAATGTAAATCACATCTTTCCAAAATGTTCACTTTAACTACATGAAACAGGCTGTGTGTATGATACTGTAATATCAAAATATGAATTTAATTTTGCTAATTGTTTATGTCACAAGTATTGCCATTTGTTTGTTTGTGGTATGCCTTCAAGTCATTTCTGACTTATAGCGACCCTAATGCAAATCTATCATAGGGTTTTCTAGGGGAGATTTATTCACAGAAGGTTTGCTATTGCCTTCCCCTGAGGTTGAGAGGGTGTGACTTGCCTAAGGTCACCTACATGGCCAAGTTGAGAATCGACCCCTGGTCTCCAGAGTCACAGTCCAACATTCAAACCACTATGCCATGCTGGCTCCCTCTCAATTATTGCCATTACATTCAAGAATGTATGGGAATTATAATTTATGAATAACACTTTGTCCTCTCCCTCTGGGAGGTGGAATGGATTGGGTCCAATATGGGAAGCTAGTTAATGGGCAGAGCAGCATGAACAATAAGGAGGAGGTGGATATAATTCAGGAATACAGGGACAACATCCTACTGAAGGCCCTCCAAAACCTGAAGAAAGTGTTGCCTGAGGAGAAAAGTATTTGGGCGGGGGGGGGGGGGGGGGGGGGGGGGCGGAAGGAAAACAAGAGGTATATGCACCATTTTATTTGTCTGGCTCCCTTTTTTATGTTTTTGTGTCTTCTTTTATGTTCTTTTAGGGCTCCTCTAGATTGTGGAGCTCTGATGGTGCAGTGGTTAAATGCCAGTGCTGCAGCCATTCACTCACAAACCATAAGATTGTGAGTTCAATCCCAGCCAGGGGCTCAGGCTTGACTCAGCCTTGCATGCTCCTGAGGTTGCTAAAATGAATACCCAGTTTGTTGGGGGAAATTAGTTTACAGTTGTAAACCGCTTAGAGACTGCTTAGTGCAGTATGAAGCAGTATATAAATGAAGCTGCTATTGCTATTGCTGTTGTGGAGCAAAGGTGTTGAGAGGCTGCAGTATTTGTTGAAGTAGTTCTCAAGGTTTTTAAAAATTTCCAAGTAGTTTTTTGTTGTCCTAGGCTATTTTCTTGCACTTATCAACACTAGTTGTTTTAGTGTGCCTTCATGTCATTTCTGGCTTATGGCAACCCTAAAGTGAATCTATCATGGGGGTTTCTTGGCAAGATTTGTTCAGAGGAGATTTGCCATTGCCTTCCCCTGAGGCTGAGAGCATATGACTTGCTCAAGGTCACTTAGGGCCTTTGCAGACTGCCAGACATAGTGCAAATTAGTGAGTATCATGGCCGAGCTGGGAATCAAACCCTGGTCTCCAGAGTGATAGTCCAACATTCAAACCCTTGCACCATATTCTCACCCTCACCAGGGCTTCTTTTAAATTCCAAGACCTATTGGAACAATATGTTCCTTTTTAAATCTTCTGCTTATTTTGTTTTTATTTTGAAGACTTTCAGTGCTATGGTGCATTAGTGAAACTGCACTTTTCACTGCCACTCTGTAACTCTTGAAATAAAATATTAATAGCAGAAAAAAATGCCCTTCAAACTATAACCCCTGATTTAAAAAAAAAAACTTGAAGCGCTCTAGTGCAGATACAGGAAATACTACAAATACAGTCAGCCCTCCGCATTCACGGACAATTTTGATTATTCACGAATGTTAAGCCTGCACGGGCATGCACTCGTCCTCTTCCTTGTTTGGGCTTTTCCCCATGGGGGAAAAAAGCCCAGAAGGGAAGCAGCAGCCAGGAAGAGTGCGCTTCTTCCCCTGCCGCAGGGGAAGAGGAGGAGCGGGTGCGCACCTATTCCATTCCCCCCTCCCATGCCTTTAACTGGCTTCTGGTTTGGGGTGGGTTATTCATGGTTTTTCCACAATCATGGGGGTCTTCTGCCCCAACTCCCATGAAGGTGAAGGACCAACTGTAGTCCACAAAACAAAAGGTGACAACAACAGGCAAACCCTAAAGAGCTATAATCACAAGGTACGGTACATTTCTTTAGATCAATCTGGAAGAGGACTTTATGTCTCACTCTTGCTCTCTGTTTCATATACAAATGTACAGAGATTGGGAAAATTACCTGTACAGACTATAGCTCCCAGAATCCTCCACCATGTTGAAGGATTCTGGGAGCTGTAGTCTGGAAAAGTAACTTTTCCAAGCTCTGGTTTAAGCTCAACCATCTGTCCCATCAGGTCTATTTTGGCCTTAAACTTGATTTATAAACTCTGTGTTTATATTCATTCCCTATCCATAAACATTGCATGACTGTTAGCTATTTGTATATCATAATACAGGCTGAGTTTCCCTTATCAAGGAATCCCAAAATTCAAAATACTCTAAAAATTAAAACTTGTTTCATGGGTGGCTGAAATAGTGACACCTTTGCTTTCTGGTGGTTCGGCATATACAAACCTTGGTTCATGCACAAAATCATTAAAAATATTGTATAATATTATTTTTAGATTATATGTATAAGGTATGTATGAAACATAAATTAATTTTGTGTTTAGACTTGGGCCCCATTTTCAAGCTATCTCATTATGTACATATAAGCAAATACACAAAAAATCCAAATTCCAAAACACTGCTGCTCCCATTATTTGTTAACACAAAGAGTAAACTCATTATGTTTCCTACTGTCAGCTTAGATATCATGCTACTCCAGAATGAGTGCATACATGAAATGTGCTGTAACTACAAAGCATAGAAAGAACTCCAGAGCTACCTCCATTGTATAGTTGGTGTGCTTGTTATCAAACACCAAAGCTTCTTGTATCAGTTGATGGTCTCCTTCAAGCTTGTCAATGTTATGTTTGTAATTGACAATATTATGCTCATGCTGCTTTAATTGATTCATCTGGTCCTCTAATGGCCCTGTTATGTCAACAGAGGTTCGGGCAATTTCCTGCCATAGGAAAAGAAAGAAAGAAAAAACCCTTTGGTTCACAAAATATACTTCTTCATATTTAATACCTGCTAAAATGACAATCAGCATTAATGAAACTTTCCCTTATACGCACAGGAGAGATGAACTAAGGTACAATATTTCCATGCCTTTATAAATCCTCTAAAGAAGAAGTGGGGAAAATTCAAGCATAGGCCATGTGCAGGTGCCAATGCCATTTTTAAAGTCCTGCAGGTTCCTCCCCTGACTCCAAGAATATGGTTTCCAGAGTAAAAACTGGAGAGAACTCTTGTACCTTTAATGGCTGTGCAGAAAAAAGAATTTCAGCAAGCGTTGCTTTTTACATACAAGGATTGCTAAAATTCCCTCCTCAACACAAACATTAAAGGTATAAGAGCCCTCTTTTGGCCAACCTACCCAAGATGTCTGGAAACAAATTAGTCCAAAAATGGCCCTACATTGTTTGTTTGCTTTAACTCTGTTATATATATTGTTTAACTTGTTTAATTTGTTTAATATTTTGTCGTTGATATTGTTTAATTTGTTAATTTCGCTCTAATATTGTTGTTTAACTTTGTTGTTCACCGCCTCGATTGGTTTACCAGAGGGGCGGTATAGAAATAAATCATATTATTATTATTATTATTACATATCTTCTAGAAAGTGGAGAGGGATTTCCCCCCCTTATTTTGGTGTTGCCTTGCAATTTTAGATCCAGGAAAGGCCTTAAATGGAGATCGTATAGGACTTCTAATTGACTTCCTTTAAAAAAAAAAAAAGCATCTCAGGGCCTTAAATGGTCAGTGGGAGCAAAAACAAGATGAAACTGCCTCCCATAACATCATGGGAGAAGGCTATTTTGAGCCATGGGGCGGAACAGAAATTAAGGAAAAATTCAAGTAGAGTGTGGGTGGGTTCCTCTGATGTCCCATGGAGAGCCTGGCAATTGCCCACCGCTGTTCTAAACCACAAACAGATTTCCAAATGTGAAGAAGATTCATGTATACCTCCCAAAAGAAGATGGTACAGTAGACATAGTCTTAAATGCAGCTGTTAATACCAACCGGAACAGAGCCATTGAATAAATGGAACTTACGGAAATGCTAACTTACTAAATTCCCACTAATCAGTTGGGTCGACGTCACAGACACTAACAAAAGGACACTAACAAAAGTCATTGTTATCCTGCTCCTTTCATTGTTCATCCACCCTGATTGTTGGGCTAATAGTAATAAGTATGAGGAGAACCCATTATTCATGTATATTTGTGACTATTTGGTCCACTGATTCAATATGTGTAACTCTGGTAAAAGCCATCATCTAGAAAAATCTTAAATTATGGATGCTTTATTTGACACTCCATTTCAAAAAGACTTCCCTGAGTACATAAGAACAAACAAACAAACAAATTCCATGCAAGATCAGATCAGAGGACTATCTAATTCTTATACATTATTCTGTTCCGAGACTGGCAGAGGTTGTCTATGGGAAGTCCACATACAAGGCACAAGTGTAACAGCGCCTTTCTACAACCACTGATATTAGAAAGCATGTTGTCTCTGGTACTGAAGTTAATACATAACCATCTTCAATAGTAGCTATTGATGGCCTTATCATCTATGAATTTGTTGAATCCCATTTAAGTTTGTCCATGTTGGTGAACATCACCATACCTAATGTTAGCAAATTCCATCATTTCCATTATTTAACTGTGAACATCAGCTTTGAATACTTTGGCTGGTATGAAAGTATTCACATTTTCACTAGGAGGATGAAGCATAAAACTGCTACAATTTCAAAGTTTTGTGGATATTTCATGCCAAAATTTCTGTTTCTGCTCACTATCTTCCTTATACCGTTTATCATTCTCACCATTTTAGATAAATTCATATATTTCTGGCCCCCTTTGTATCTTCCCAGTGCCTTGCTGCCTTCTGTCATGTGCAGAGACTGGAAAAGTTGCTTTTGTGTAATGCAGTTCCCACCCACAGCCAGTATGGCCAATGGGTAAGCCATCTGAGGCATTCCAAAAAGTAAAATTTCCAAGCTCTAAGTATGCTTTTTCCAATATCTAGTATGGCCTACCACCCCATTAATTCAAACTCCTGTTATGATTAGTGGTTCTGATTGGTTTTTATATCAAGACCTCTTTTGGGTCTCTGTCACAGCCCTATGCTGAAAGCCATGGGCTCAAGGCTGAGCCTCAGGTAGGCACTCCAAACAGAGTTGAATCTGCATTTATAACCATTTGCAGATCAAAAAGGCCAGGCTTAGGAGCTGTAAAACAGGACATTCACACCTAAAGATTTATGAGGGCCATCCAGGATGAGTCCGGTTGAAGATGAGATAACATTAGCATCCTATCTCCCCTCTTTTGGAAATTGTCTACTTCAAAGCATCCTTTGATATACCATAGCAACTCTTTGCCTCAGCCTCATCTTAAGAGTATAAATGCTCCCCAAAATCTCAGGCAAAGGGGGAGTCTGGATAGAATTCATTATGCCTATGCCATTGTGAATTCTAACTAGAGTTCTCAGCTCTATTCTTCGTCCTTTCCCTGTCATAATGGTTGATTCTTCACTCATCATTGCAAACCTTCATCCCCTAGATAAGAAGAGTCTCATTTTAATTTTCTGTATCTGCTGTTACTAAATAGAACCACATTTTAGGAAAACTACTACATTTTAGTAAATGTGGTCTTCTAGTAAAAGTGGTCTTTCTCTACAGTGGTCTCTCTCTACAGAGATAGAGTTTGCCCAAACAAACCTCCTTACCTCCATCTTGTTTTGGATCCAGGGGCCAATAACATTGGCCTGAGCAGCAAACTGACGGCGCAGGCGTTCATTGGTATGCTGGCGGGCCAGTTCCTCCTGTAGGGATTGATCCCTTATTGGCACAAGATGTTTTACCTGTCAAGAGACCAAAATTAGGTTAGTCTGAGATCACACAGCACAGGCATAATTACTTTTAGGACTAGTGGGGGTTCTGAGTGTTGCAGTCTGAAAAAAGAAGACTTCTCCAGCTCTGGACCCAAATTTATTCACTTATGTTTCAGTAGTTTGACATGCAAAATAACTATAGGTTGAAACCTAGGGCAGAAACACAAGAGAATGTTCAAACTGATATGACTGTGCTAAGAAAAGAGACTTTGGGCCAGTGAAGTTGAACTGCAATTGCTACTTCCTACTGATTTACATCACCAGTTCAATTTTCACCTTGCAGTGGAGTCCCTGGCATGTTCTATAGTGCCTTCAGGATAAGTCTTTGGGACAGCAGTCCAGAGTCTCATCTAACAGAATAAGCCACAGAAGAACCAGCTATAGCAGAACTAGGTTTTCAAATCACCCTTTCTAAGGGGAGGGAAGGTCTCTATATGGGCATGAAGTCCAGAGCCTAAAAGAGAGGTGAGCAACTGCATGGGAGGCAGAGGCAAACTCTCCAGTGACCTAATTG